AATGCCATTGTCGTATGTTTAGGAAATCAAAATTGCTACAAAAAGTTCAAGCTTTTTTTTCTAGCTTTTTTTCTAGCTTTTCTACAACAGATTTTTCTAGCTTTCCAATAATCATCTTAGTCCTATTTTTGGACTAACGGTAAATTTTGAGCTCTAGAACAAATTCGGCAAACGGACTGATTTACAAAGCGCTGTGAAGAAAACAAGGCCTTGTGTAGTAAATATGGACAAGTCATATAATAATATGATCGCTCGGTGACCATATAAAACACGCATTCGGTGTCCTGCGATGGTATGAAAGTGATGTATCGGCCTACTAAATATAGCGATAAGTAGAGTCCTGAAACGGAATTAGTTTTTTGAAGCGATGCTAAACATTCGTAGATCTATTGAACTTCATGCAATCTGGTTTCACATATTGTTACTGCGGCTACCTAGATTCATGAATAGCTAATAGCGGATACATCTTTATTTGTCCATTACCCGGATCTACTACGGATTATTGGCTTTTCGAGTTCTTCCTAGTTCCGTTGTGCGTTACAAGGGTAATAGAACTTTTCCAACGAAAAGAACAAACTCATTAAAGATTCAATTATACAAAAAAAAAAATGATTTTGGCCATATTCAAGACTGGTCTAATACTTTCGCTCATAATATGGCGGGGTAAATACGAAGGTCATTGAAACTGCCAAGGGCAAAATTTGTCGCTCAACACGTTCATTTCGCATAAATACAACCTAGCTTTTACTATGTATGAGACAACCACCTTCTATAAGAAAACCTCTGTGCAAGCGGCATATAGAAGGGCATGACATACACGAATACTCTAGCCGTAAAGGTAATATCGTTAATTTCATTAGGGAACGATACACTACGAAAAGCAAATAGGAACCACGGACTACCCGTTGTTTCCAAAGACATGCCTGGCTAGGTTGGTTATGATCAACTACACATTAGATCTACCGTGGGGGCTTAAAGCGTGGTGTGTTCGTATGGGTTCGTAACGATATAGGCCAATTTCAAGTAGGAGACAGATGTCATTGTGGGAAACTTGAAAAATCACAGGAGAATTTACGAATAAAGCTAGGTTTTTTTCATGAAAAATATGAAACACTAGCCGTATGAATACGTGTACGTATGTTCTATTTTCGAAGGTATCAGTTCTTCTAGAAGGCAATACAAAGCTTATTTGATGTTTGTGCTGCCTTTCAATAGTATGCTTTTTCTCAAAAGCCTCGAAAACGTCCATCATTGGTGTGGCATGGAGTCACAAAATAAGCTACTAATACGTTTAAAACTAACGTGTTAGCTTAATAGTCGGAAAATGCTGACTAATTAGAGGTGCAATTACGGCAACGGGTTTTCTGAGAATCGCGAAGAAAAGTACATAACGCTTTTGGTAAGATATAAATGTAAGACAAGAAAATCCAATCCATCTACAAAGATAACGATTATCTGTCTTTAGGAAATATAATTCATCGCTTTATTGTTATCGCGTCGTTCGCGCCTCATCAAAGCACGAGATAGAAATCGGCACCTCCCGTAAAGGACGCACAGCCGTTAACGATATAGAAAAATAATAATAATAATAATAATAAAAAATAAAGTAATATATATAATAATAATAATAATAATTAAAAAATAAGTTGTCAATAGAACATCTCGTCATATACACACACACACACACACACACACACACACTTTGTTACTATGTACAAACGATAGATATAGTTATTCGCTAGATAAAAAAAGGTTTTAGTTATGATCTACTTCACTACATATGTCTTTTTGAAGGACAAAAGTTTTTTACGTAACTGTCGGAAACTATCGTTTCGCTTCTCTAGTATTAGTGCGATGAAGAATGTAAGCGGCTTTATGAATCACTCCAGTTTCAAGAACAATTACAGTCTCGTGAACGGGACCTGAAGGAGTTTCTTTCCGCCGTCAATTGGGTAGGTTCAAGGAATAGTGCAGTTTTAGGACACTGTATCCGCCTGTTACTACTGCGACTCTATCGCATCAGTATTTCTCATCGAACAAATAAGCAATTTTTTTTCTATATTTTGAAATAATATTATTAAACTAATTATGCACCATTCAATCGATGACTTTCTGCCATCTTTCTGGTAAAATCTCATCGTTGTAAAACGTTTGTGATTTCCTGGCTAATGATATTTGTGTTTATCCATTGAAACTGGATTAACAGCATTAAACGAGTCCTGCAAAAATTGTCTGATGGTACAAGATCCGGACTACACGGCAAATGCAATAAAAGTAAGTTGTAAAGTAAAAGTGGAAGTCTTCTATTTTCGATTTTTTTTGCTAGTTACCGATAGCGGAAATCAATCAATCAATCAATCAATCGCTTTCCCTGGCGGCAGCAGCAGCAGCAGCAGCAGCAATTTTAATGAGCGATTTTCTCCCAACATTATCAAATACATAACATCATCACCTGGTTCAGAGTCAGTCTGAGTTTTGCCATTTTTCTTATTTGCGCAGTATGTGGTATATGATCGATTTTTCCTCACCTACTTTGGAGATGGTTTAATTCTGTTTTGTCGATTCTGTAGATTTCTACAGACTGAAACACGATCGAGCAGAGTCTTCTGCACTCAATCAGTGAGACAGACCTTTTTGCAATTATTTTTATTCAAACAATTTAAAACTGTTCGGTGGTGGATGTTTAGTTTGTTGGCGGTATTACAGCTATTCAAGTGTCAGCCTTGCTCAACTTTCGCAATAGTTTCATAACGTTTTACGTCATGGGTCAGTAACTACGGGGGGCACCTTTCTATAATGAAAGCCACAGAGCTATGACTAAAGCGTTGCTTCCGATCACGCACCTTGACCACAAGCAACACAATATCTTTTTTTTTTTTTTTTTTTTTTATTACCTGGGGCGATATTTGTGTTTTTCTTATCGTAATAGAATTGTAAAATACAGTTGTAAAATTTTGCAGTAATTTCACCTATGTTCAGGACATCCTACCTTACGTCTTAATAATAGTATTTCAACAATTCTAACACATCTGTTCGATTTATATTACCTACGATATGTGACTTCAAAGCCATCTCGCTAGAAAAGTGGCCAGCAAATACTTTTCAAACGACCCAATATGTGCTGTCAAGGACTGGCCGTTTGCAACAGGTTTGCGGACGCGGATGATTTGCCTCGGAAATTAAAAAAAAAAAAAAAAAAAAGTTTTTTGATTGCATTTTTGTTATGACTGCATGTTTTGTTGGCAACACTTTCCTGAGCGCATTATTGACGATTATTTTCATACATACGTTCTAAATGTATCACCCAATAGCTGATTGTTACTTCTGTCAAAATCTGCTAGATTAGGCGAAAATACTTGCAATCAAGGTCTATGAAGAAGTTGTTCTAGAGTAAATAGCGGATGCGCACAAAAGCTAAAAAGGTATTTACTTCGATGTTGTAGGGAAACGATGGATATCATACTATTGCGACAACAACTAAAATTCAGATGCTGCCTCTTATGAGGCATTTTCGAGGTAAGCCTAGATTGAATCGTTCAAGATAATAGTGTCAATTTTTAGACAAGAACGTGACCATATATCCTCAATGCATAGCAAACGTAGTATCTATTTATCTTGTAATTTTTCCGCACTTTGCTAGTTCCCGATAGCGATTCGGCATCTGCAGGTTATTCTAATTTTTTTCGATAATTTTGTCAGCCTTTTTATGAACAAAATAATCACTGCCTCCATATGCTTTATACAATAATACCTAAATGTGTCTTGTGGACATAACAGACGACGCTACGAAAATCGTAGACTCGCGTTAAAAGCTGTCCACGTGAAAAAGATTCGTTCAAAAATTGTGAGATTAGAGAAAATACCAAATAAATATACTTTCCATGTAGTTGAGGCCGGATACGGTTTATTAGGATATAGCCACTTGTGCTTTTAGCAACGAACTGACAAAGAGCCATGGCTAATAGAAAACTTGGCTACTATAACTTAACATGAGTTCCATCTTGGAGCTGCAGCGGCAGGCACAGCTTGTTGTATAAACCTTGTGTGCGGTTCTGTGGGTTCTGCTACCAGAAGCACAGATCGCCGCTATATTAAAAAAATCTAGGAATTAATTTTTTTAATGGGTCTTGTGCAAGATTATATGCGAGGATGAATCACGCGGTGTTCTATGTCAAAGTCAATGGATGTTAGCACTTACCATACAAGCTTACTTCAGTTAAATTAATATGGTTAAAAAAATCGATAAATGGGTGCCACATGATTTCAATAAGGGCAAGAAAGGAAGACGTTTGATTTTGTTTACTCTCCTGTTATGGGTGCGACCAATTTTTGCACCTGTGATGAAAATGGGTCTTTTACCAGGATCGCATATAATCACATCAGTCGAAGGATGTGGAACCGGCAGGACATCAATTTAAAGCAAGTGTACCGCTGTAGTTTTGGCGTTTAGGTTAGTTTAGTGCAAGAGCTTTCCATAATAAAAGCATTTGTCAGTTACGGCTGAAGTGCATGTTCAACAATCGCATGGGGCAATAAACAAACTGTGCATTAAATATCCAAGATCATTAAATAAAGTTAAACCACCCTTATTGCGCGACAATGCTTGACCACAAACTGCAAGAGTCACAGTCTAATAGCTAAAGTTAGAGACTTTCTGTTATTTACCAAATCTACCAGGCACTACTTTCAGAGACTGATAATTTTTTCAAGTTCTCAACAACTTCCTAATAGGAAAATCGTTCAAATCTTAACACGATGTCCGAATCGTCTTTCGAAACTTGGTAGATTATCGTATCTGAAACTTCTACAACAGCAATAAATTACCATTAGCAGCAAAATGAAAGGAGGTCACAGATGACAACGGTGCATAATTCGATTAAAAGTAAAGGAATTAATTCGTGAAAAAAGTTAAGGCGACTTATTATTTCGCACTTCGTACTGAACGATTTAATATTATATATGACATAGCCTATACACGAATAGAAGAAAAACACGTAAAATTCATCCTATCGATCTTGTAACACATTTTACAAATCGATGTTTATTTACGAATTCACGACAGCCACAAGGTGTTTAGCTAACTTTACAATAGCGTAGTGTACACGTAACAAATCGAAAAGTGTCCACGACGTGACGGTAGCTGAAGATGTAAAGAGGTATTACGCTCATGCGGAGGCTGAGATGAGTAGTGCGTTTATATTTACTAAAAAGAAGCATCTCGTGTCCTTTGCACACCAGGTCCACTACGTGGCAATCAATGTACAGCAATATTTTCAATTGTATATAAGCATATGTCTCACATTATTTTACTTAAGAGATCGTAGCTTTACCAGCCGCTGGAAGCGGATTGCCAACCGGCCTGAACCTTCTGGGGCCATCCCTGAGGCTGAGCATGCTTGACCTCAGCTGTGGCAACCGATTTCACAAGGAGTACCTTCGCTTGAGCGTCTGCAGACTTATGCAAAATCTTGCCACCTTGGTCGATGGTACGGACCTGGTGAACAGTTTTAATAACGTGCGTTGGTCCCGCAACGGTCAACGACGGGCTTGCATGACCCTGATTTTGTTGCTGTTTGATAATGACGATCTTCTTTTCCTGTTGAGGTGTTGGGGCCTGCCAGCCAGATGATGCTGGGGCAGCGGTTTCCCAACCCGAAGACACGGATGCTGCATCCCATCCGGAAGATAAGGGGGCTGCCTGTTGCCATCCCGACGAAAGCTGGCCTGATTCCCAGCCCGAAGACGCCGAAGCCCATCCAGATTGTGTTGTGTCCCAACCAGAACTGGCAGCCTGCTGCCAACCTCCAGAACTCTCAAAACCAGCACGAGTTGATGCGACGCATACCACAAGAGTGATCTAAATATGAAATGAAGTAAGAACAAGACGTTAGGTTATAATAAAAACCTCACAGCTAGCAGACTTAGCAGTCTAGCGGGATTCGAGCATTGGTAAGCTATATTTGATGTTGCTGAGGTGTATACCCGAAGCTTTTGTGCAGAAAGATATAAAACACGGAGAGCGTCTGAGGCTAACAAGAACCAATAATGCCCACCACAACACTGACTATACTGAACCATACCCATTCACCAAGAACACAGAAACAAACCCCCTTCGCTTAAAACCGCTACCTAAATTTTAAACTTTTACCCTCTATAAATCTAGACAAGCACATATATGTGTATATATACAAACGCATAAGCTTTAACGGTAGGTTATGGACGGATCAAATCAGTTGTTTCTCTGTGGTGCACGGAAAAGAAAAGATCACGGCAAAATTGCTCCAAATGTTTCAACCAGGGCGAAAACTCCAAATACTGCTCTTATAGGGAGATCCCGTTGAAGTTCTCAACTTGACAATTTTTCTGGCCAGCGTCACATGCATACACTTGAACTTTTTCGGCTTGTTTAAGCTTGGTCTCATTCTCTTTCTGTTTTCTTCTTTTTCGTATTGAAAACATTCTCAGACCGCTGTCCTCCTCTATTCGATGTGGGCATCGGATTCCGATGTAGCCGCTACCACCATCACAATTTCGACACCAGCGTGGCTATGGCTGTTCAAAAGCAAGTCAACTCAGACTAGTCGTAAACAACCAACAGCTTGCTTGTTGTCCGACACAAACGTCATGCCGGCGTCTTCCTTATCCACTCCCATGATCCAGACTCCTTTCAATCCACATGACGAAATAGATGTAAAACGACGACGGCAAGAAAGTAAAAGAGACACACGCACAAAACGCAAAAGGACCAACGACCCTTAAACATGAGCCAAAGGTTTTTTAGGGCCACCGTCTGAACGACCACCAACATCATTGCATTGTTTCAAGGACGAACTGTTTAGGGATTTCTCAGTCAGCTCCGCGTTCTGGGTCCACGCTTGTTTATGCATGTATGCTCTTGTGTCCAGCTTTGGTTCGTTGTTTTTACATTAGTGACAGAAATAGCGGTAGAAAAAGAAACATGTTGACGTTACGTTACTGAGTAAGATACTTACAAAAGCCTTCATATTTTCGCTAGTTTAGTTGCTATTTCGACGAACACAGCGAGGATAATGACAACACAGTGAGGTCTACAACAACGACAAGTCAACAACTACAACAATAACAACTCGGAGTGTTCAACTCAGGAATCACTCTGCAGCAGCAGCAACGACAACAATAACTAAAATAACAATTTAAGCTGGTTCTACTCAGAGGACTGTTCGTTTCTCCGTTTATGACGGTTTGTCGTGTGTGCACCGCAACACAACTGATGCTTTTTGTTCCATTTCGTCGTGTATTTATGCTTGGCCGTCGTACGTTATGCATTACGTACACAGGCCTCCCTTCCTCCGTCTCCACAAAACTCATTTGTATTACCGCATCAGCGCCGTCACCGCAGCGGCAGCAACGACAACACTGTAAGCATATAGTATGAAATGGCGATCCCTGCGGAACTTCTCACACACAGCGCCCGCAGTCTGCCCCCTGTCCCATATGCCCCCCTCAGGGCAATTCCTGACCCCCGATTCTTGGCGCCCGAAAAACCTCCTCTACTGCTCTCTCCATTTCAGAGCGGTCGATCGATCGAAAACCCACATCGCAAAGCATCGTCTACGGGTTGCTCTATCACGTCTATCGATGAGTATCGGCGCGTGCGTGTGCGTGTGTGTGTGTCTCATGCTGTCGTTACCAGAGCGTGACCTATGGCGCCATTGCCATCATTGCAGCTGCTGCCAGAACCGCTACTGTAGGCCACCGCTACTATTTAGGATTTTCGTTCAGCACAATTGCTCAGTATCTCTCTTCTGTTTTCATGTGTATAGCTCGCCCCCCGCAGGTAGATTGGTATCTTCAATCGCTCCTCACAACAAGACGACGGCAGTAACGATAACAGAAGATGACGGCGACGACGGCGACGGCGACGGCGACGATATTACAGATACTGATGCTCTGCAGCAGCTAATGGCGACAATAATGATGAAATCGTGTCTGATTTTATCTCGATGGCTGCTAAAACTAAATCTAGTGATATTATAGGTTTGATTGCTTCAATAGTCTGACTACCTGCTAAGCTTACGCAAAGTCACTGATAGAACTCTGTACTGTACAGTGTACCCACGGTCCTAAGTTAGGAACTTCCCTTGTGCTTTGTTTCTCACTGTATGTAAATAGAGACTGTTTAAGGAATTTTTTTTTAACATTTACTAAACATGTCGTTTTTGATGGCCATATTTGTTCATTCACAGCAATTGCATCTTTAGTTCGAGACCTAAACCGCAAGTCATTTTCAAAATAAGGTCTTCTCTTTAATTTGCAAATAACTTTTTAATAGTAACTGTGCATCAAGAGATATTCGTGGCTATAAACCTGTGTAACTTAAGTGAGCTGCATGCGAAAAATTCTAGCGGAAAATGAGTGTTAGTTTAGAAGCCTTAAAAATGCAAGGGCTCAACATGGCCAAAAACAAGAAAGAGACCACTAGAACTTATCCGGATGATCCAATTAACTATCTACATTTTCCTTTTCGAAATGACTGTTAATTTCTATATCGAAGATTCAGATGTACTAAAAGCGGCTTCGTAAGCTGTTGTAATTAACTTTTAGGTCCTTTAAATCGAAGTTTTATTCGAGACCTTCTGCTTCGCCTGCGGTAAATCCTCCTTGAATTACTCGGGAGCTGCGGGAAAACAAGCAATAACGTAGATTGTCGATTTCGGTTGGAGTTTGTCCAGCGGACCTAAGTTTGTTCGAATGTAGACTTGTCATTCGTTACGTGACAGCATTCGCAAGGCAGTGACCTCTAACCGCGACTAGTTCTAGCCAAATATATTCCATCTATCTACAGCCATAGTCTATTTCATGAATGGCAGCAATATGAACCTTATTACTATAAGGTCAACGTCACTCATGCATAACGTAGAGACAGACAGACAGGCAGGCAGGCAGGCAGGCAGATACCGATCATGCTGCTTGTTCTTCTTATACAATTGATTCGTACGGAACGACGTGGTTGCGTGACGAATTGTCGCTATTGAATGGAGCGACACGATATTGCAATCGCGCATTAGCAGCACTGTCTGGATGGCCATTGTGCGCATTGGTAGATCGGGTAGCTGGCTGAATGAGATCTCAATGATCGCTACCCTTCCAGGGCGCTAATCGAATTCAATGATACTAATACTGGTTCTATTCGTGTCTTGTGTAGACGCCAGGTAGCTGTCCGATCGATCTAAAAAAAGAAAATCGTTTTAGGGCTTTGAAATAGTCAGCATTTCATCCCGGTTTGTTTTTTTTTTTTCTATGCGTAATAAAAATAACGTAACATAAGAATACGTGTTATTAGGATAAAAGTTGTTTTGTACGGCTGTTGATGTGAATGGTTAAGACTTCAGTGTTTTCAGCGATAGTTGCTCAATTCGTCGATAGCATGTTTTATTTCTAAAGTAAAACTTTCATTCAAGAACGTAAGATCAAATTAGATGTCTTTGACAAGATCGCTTTGCGCTACAATAGCCGATCTGTTAATTAATCTATAGGTTTATTTTTGCCTAAGTTATGCCGATTATTTAAACAAGAATTTTAAAAATGATCGCAAAAATATACAAACAGTGTATTGGTAGCATTTTCAGTGTTTTTTTTTTTTTTTTTTTTTACTGCGCTGCTTTCTCTCGCAGAGCAACAAAAAGATGGCGTGTTCATCACCTAGTACACGCGACCGGCGGCAATATTTGAAGAAGATTAACTACTAGAATTTATCCGGACCTCGTGTAGCAGTGATTCGGGTTGTTTGAAAAAAAATTAACGATTGTAAAGGAAAAGTTAAAAGGAGCGTTAAAAAATTGGAAAGATCATATTTCCGAACAACAAGGAAGCGTTGTCTATCTGTCGACTACTAATATCCTCTTTCACTTTCACAAAGTACACAGATTGTTCCGAGTTGCCTAAAGCACACTCTGCTTTATATAACGACAATTTTATAGCATATAAATACTTAATACGCAAACTTTTTGGCACACATTCGACACACGGTCCATTTTCCTCTAGAGTTAATTCCGCCACATCGTTACTCTTTAGAAGGAGACTGCAAGGAGCCAATGCAGGCTCTGTCCAAGCTCATTGCCGAGACGTAGCTTATCCAGTATTTTATTACTTTGGTATATATTCATCACTATAGTGACAAAATTTTCGCCTGCGTATCTGGCCTGCCTTTCAACAGATCTCCGATGATAGTTCTTGGGCTGCCACCGCACACTCTTTTGCAGTCCAACCACATTTACTTTTAGTTTTCGTACATTCTACTGTTTATGATCAATCTATAGACTAACTATGTTTTACTCACAGTTTTCATGCCTTACTTTTATTATGGTTCCCGCAATGTTTCGAAAAAAGATGACATCGCTCACTATCCTGCTATTCACAAAGATCTCCGAAGCGTATAACTTGAATTGTGCCCAATGGCTAAACCATACGCAGATCAATCTGGTTGACTACTCCTTACGTTGACTCCTAGCTTCCATACACCCTAAACTACTAGGTGTTCGCAACTTGCTCATACGCCTATCAACAGGAAGTCCTTCCCGTCAACAACCTCGTCACTGACGTGAATTATGCTACGGTTCTTCATTTGCTATCTATACGTCTCTAAGGTAGGCTTGTATTTGCAGCACGCCATTAACGATTACAACGCGTCACATAGCAGTCCCTGTTTCATTGAAATTATCCTTTGTCTTTGGATTTGTCGCGTGCCAGCCAGCGGACGGCTGCTGCGGTGGCCTTTTTTGTCTACCAATTGGTCGATGTCAACAAGACTCGGACCTCCTGCGACCTAAACAGGGTCATCAAATAGGTTTACCTGATATATTGTTGTCTACACCTATTGCTATCACTCCACAACCCCCAGAAACGACAACTGAGTTTTATGTTTTTCATCATTGCGCCTTTGGATAAGGCCCTCGCTCGGTTTTCTTGCTAAGCTCAAACTGGTCTTAGCTGTACATTCGGCCGCGTTAAAAACGTATCGACGTCGTTACTGTAGCAGGGCTTAATCAGCGCGCTTCGAAGACGATCCATTTCACTATCACGTCTCGCAGAGTACCTCAGTTAGCTCGCTGCCCCATATCGAGGAATGCCTCAGATCGAAGGTACAAAGGGCTATTTCCGTACCATCATCCTCGTCAATCGTTTAGCTTTTTCAAACACCCTGTTCATGAATCCTTTCAAGTCTTATTCTATTTTTCATACTGTTCTTCTTGTTTGCACAGACCACCTTGCGGAGTGATAGCGCATGCTGAATATAAAGATCATGAATGCCGGTTTTTTATCCGATTCAGTTCTGGGATATCAAAATAGCTCACTAACAATCTGCCAGTATCTAATAAAAATTCTACACAAGTGTTTATGTATTTAAGAACAGCGTCATGCGTCTATCCTTTGGAGCGAATGCAACACGATAGAAACCAACTGTTCAGGGTCTTCTATATAAGGGTAAGCTACAAGAAACAAAAGAAATTTAATCACTTGCATTCAATTTATTTTTAAAATTCTATTTAACACATACGTTACCTTTTTTTCCAGCGAAATCTGTAAGACTGTAAAGTTCGCTATTGGACGTCGTAGATAAAAGTGAATGTTGACGAAAATATGGGACAATGTATTTAATTACCAACTAAAAGTTTCGCAAGCCCAACGTCCACACACAAATCTGTCTCTAAAGGTTAAAAAAGCGTCGTCTGCAGTGATTAGAGGAGCTTTCCTAAGGGTGCCTGTGGTGCCAGCTTCAACCTGCAGACGACGATACCAATATAGGAATGAATCAATCTTTATAAAATTGTGCTTTTCTCAAATCAAAAATCTGCGTACTCAACTAAGACTTCTCAGAGGATCCACCAACTACGAGAACATTCAAAGTCCAGGATCTAGTTAGAAAATCATCCAAAAAAGGTCATGATTTACATTTGATGAAACTCTTAGGACCTTATTCGCTACGGACTAGACCGGTTGCATGAAGTCAGCGAATCTATACAACAGAAAAGAGCCGGTAGAGACATGCTTTATGGTAACGCAAAACCGCATGCGGAAACATAGTCGAAGCCATCCTTTTCAACTTTATATGAGAGAGTTTGTTGTACCCTACTTTGGACGTTGCGCTGACAAATTTCTATTTCTTTTCTCGTTTGTTTAACTTGAACATAACACAACAAAGTGTAATTAGATGATTTTTTCAAGAGGAAACCCGTTACCTTCTGCCGAAACCGTACACATAATTTA